CTCTCTTAGCACCTGTGCTATGTCTCGCCATTCCCTCCTAGCTTGTAGGGTTTCTGATGAGAAGTCAGCTGTGAGTCTGATTGGAGATCCTCTGAGAGTAATCTGACGTTTCTCTCTTGCACATTTTAGGATCTTTTCTTTATGTTTCACTGTGGTGAGTTTAATTACCACGTGTCGTGGTGAGGATCTCTTTTGGTCATGTTTATTGGGGGTTCTATGAGCTTCCTGTACTAGGATATCTCTGTCCTTCTCCAAACCTGGAAAGTTCTCTGCTAGTATCTCACTAAAAAGGCCTTCCAATCCTTTCTCTCTCTCCATGCCTTCAGGAACTCCTAGAACTCGAATGTTGGTTTTTTTTAATAGTATCCTGTAGATTCCCAACAATATTTTTTAGATTTCTAATTTCCTCTTCTTTTCTTTGGTTTGACTGTATGTTTTCCTGTGCTCTATCTTTTAAGTCCGATATTCTCTCTTCTGCTTCATCCATTCTGTTTTTAAGGCTCTCTAATGTGTTTGTCATTTGATCTATTGAGCTCTTCATTTCATTTTGATTTCTCTTCACTATCACACTTTCCTGTTCTACTAATTTCTGCATTTCATTTTGATTCTTCCTTAAAATTTCATTTTCACGAGAGAGATTTTCAATCCTGTCCAATAAGGATTTCCATAGTTCAAGGATTTGCTTTTGAAAACTTCTAAATGTTCTTATCATAAATTTTTTGAAATCCATATCTTGCATTTCTTCTATCTCATCATCTTCATAATCTTGGCTTGGGGTGTTTTGTTTATTTGGAGGCATCATAGTGTCATTGTTGATCTTGTTCCCTCGATTTCTGTGTTTGTTGCTTGGCATAGTTAATTCTTCTTGCGTCACTGTGCGTTGTTTTTTTTTCTTTTTTCTTTTTTTATACTGTGTCCGTGTTAAGTGGACTGCCTGCTGTTGGAGGAGCCTTGGAGGCTTGAGATGGGTGGGGCCTGAGAGCTCTGCCTGGTTCTTCCTGGTTAAGGGTGTGCAAAGGTGACACCCTCAGGTTATGCGTGGTAAATCTCTCTCTTTTTATTTATTTATTTATTTTATTTATTCAGGGGGTAAGTAACACCGCAGGGCACGGCTGTGCAGAATTGATGGTATTTAGCTTCCAGTCGTTGGCTCCTCTGGACTCCCACTGGGTTGCCTAGGCTACTGAATTGTAGTGACTCAGTTCCTTAGCTCTCCCCCATTGATATGTAAATCCAGAGAGGAGGCCTGCTCTTTGTCTCTTGGGAATTCTTCAAGCCTTGCAGCCTTGTAACCTTTGCAAGGTTAGGGGGAAGAGAAAACCCCAAAGCTTTTTTTTTTTCCTTCTTTCCGGTAGTGAGTTTGCTGCACTTTCCGGCCCCCCTCTAGATTCTGACCCCCGTTTCCCCACCAATGTCTCGGGTTATTGAGCTCACCTCCCCTTCCAGCGCCGATGTGTGGACTCGGAGCCCTGAGCGCCCCAAGTCTCCCCGCTGTTGTCTGTGTGGCATGCACTCCCCTTGGAGCACTGGCGCGCAGACCCTGGGGCTTCTGCGGCTCGGTCCCGCGACTTGGCTTCCGCACGGTGGGCGACCCTGTTCTCCCAGTAGGTCCTCTGATTCACGGCTGCTCCATCCAGAAGGGTTTCCCCTGCAATCCTTTCCTGGCTCTTCCCTCTGCGGCCACCGCAACTCCCCTTTTATTAAACCAAACTTTCCTGGACTACCGGTGCGCGCCCTCCTATATATTTTTCAGTAGTGTTCTTCTGTAGAGGTTTTAGCCCTATCAGAGTATTTTGTGTATATGTGCTGCCGAAATGAGCATGTGTCAGAGTATTTTGTGATAGTTCCTATCAGACTATTTTAGGGTAAGAAATTGTTATTTTTATTGCATAGATAATTTTGAAAACCACAACAGAGTTTTATAAGTCAATGAAAGTGGAGCTCCTAATGAAGTTTATTACTATGTAGACACAACATACAACATGTATACACATATAATAAATATATATAAAATGTCAGACAAAAAAGCAGTTTCTGTAACAGCTTGTTTTTTTAAAGGTTTTATTTTATTTGAGAGGCAGAGTTACAGACAGAGATAGGGAGAGACAGAGAGAGATATCTTCTACCTGCTGGTTAACTCCCCAAATGGCTGTAATGGCCAGAGTTGGGCTGATCTGCAACCAGGAGCCTAGAGCTGCTTCTGGGTCCCTCACGTGGGTGCAGGGGCCCAAGCACTTGGGCCATCATCCACTGCTTTCCCAGATTGTCTGCAGGGAGCTGGATCAGAAGTGGAACAGCCGGAACACAGACTGGAACCCATATAGGATGCTGGTGCCACTGGTGGAGGCTTAAGCTACTATGCTACAGTGCCAGCCCAGATAACTTGTTTTTCAAAAATCTTTTTTTCCTTTTCAAAATTACCATTAATCATAATTATTTCTTGCTCTTAGTAGCCTTAATTAACCGTAATCTTTAGTAAAAAATTAGTAAGCAATTTTAAATTATCATATATCAACATTTCAGGGGAACCTGCAGGGGAAAATTATTACTTGAACATTTAGTTTGCAAAACAACTGTAATCACAGGAAAGGGGTTGAGCATGTTCTCATGTAAAGAAAATTATGTCTTAATTGCAGAGCCTTCAACTGGTATCCTAACAGTTAGTTAAATGGTTTTTGTGCATCATTCTTGTTACTCTTGTTCCCCATTCTCAGTTGTACCAGGGACTTCAGTGGGGGAATTTTAATAGGCTTAACTACTCCCCTGGGCCTCCTTATTATTTTTTTTAAGATTTATTTATTTGAAAGTCAGGATTACAGAGAGTGAGGGAGGGAGGGAAAAAGAGAGAGAGGAAGAGTGAAAGAGAGAGAGAGAGAATGAATCTTCCATCAACTGGTTCACGCCCCAGACGGCTGCAGTGGCTGGGGTTGGCCAGGACAAAGCTAGGAGCCAGGAATTTCATTCAGGTCTCCAACATGGGTGGCAGGACCCTATCTTGCCCTGCTTTTCCCAGGCCATTAGCGGGGAGCTTTATCAGAAGTGAAGCAATCAGGACACTAACCAGTACCCATGTGAGATGCTGGCATTACAGGCAGCAGCTTTACCTGCTGCACCATAATGGTGGCCTCTCCTCATTCCTTAGATCCTACTACATACATTGTAGCAGCATTTGTGAACAGAGACAAGACATCAAGGCATTTAATACCTTGATTGATACCATATTTTGGCTATTGTGAACAGTCCTGCTATAAATATAGTGGTGTAGGTGTCTCTTTGATACAACATGTTCATGAGATTGCTGGATCATACGGTATGTCTAATTCTAGTTTTTTTTAAAGTTGGATTTCCCATTATGAATAGTAGTTATCAGGTATGAGAACCTTGGAATTATCTTTGAGTTTCTCCTTGCTTTATACATTCAGTTCATTGTAAAAATCAGCTCATTTTTTCTTTCAAAGTAATTATTATATCCATTTCTTTCATTTTATTCTCATTGCCTTCAAATTAGTTTAGATGCTAGCCTTTTGTGGCTGTCACTACAATGGTCTTCTAAGTGGTATTTCAGATTTTTTCCTCATGTCTATGCCATCAGATTATCCTTCTTAAAAGATAGCCCCTTTTCTCTCTATTGCCTATCAAATAAATGAAATAAAATCTCCAATATCTCTATAACCCTGCACTGGTTTTTTTTTTCGTTGTTTTGTTTTGTTTTACTCTAACTTAATTTTTCTCTAATTCTCTCATTGTTTACCAAGTTTTAATCATCCAGGTCTTATGGTGTGTCATAATTTTCTGAAAACAAGCTGTGTATTTTCTTCTCTTTTTTGAAGATTTATTTAAAAAGCAAAGTGTCAAAGAGAGTGAGAGACAGAGAAAGAGATATTGTGTCAGCTGGTTCACTTCCCAAATGGCTCTGATAATCAGGTCTAGGCTAGGCCAAAGTCAGGAGCCTGGGACTCATCCAGGTTTCCCTTGTGGGTGGGCAGAGACCCAAGCACTTGAGCCCTCCTTTCCTGCTGCTTTCTCAGGTGCATTATCTGGGAGCTGGATTGGAAGCTGAGCAGCTGAGGCCAGAACCTGTGCTCCAGTGAGGGATGCCAGCATCACAGGTGGTGACTTAACCCACTGTGCCACAACTCTAGCCCAAACCTGTACTATTATTTTTTTTACTTAATATTTTTCTTTGTTGATTCACCTTGTTAGTCTTATCCTAATCTATAACTTCTACAAAATCATAGCCTTAATGAACTGTGTATACTTTTTTCTCTTGAATATTTACTTAGGTACTATTGAAAATCATCTCCCCATTGGTGATCTGGGAAGTTCATTTTGGGGAAATTTGCCAAATACAGATTCTATGATCTACTTCTTGACCTTAGAACATAGTTTTCATGCTCTAAAAATTTTTGAGGTAGAGGTCGGGGCAGGAGATTGTTGTTATTTTTCTCCTAATTCCTTTCCCAGTCAGTTTAGCCAACAATAGTCAATGAGGATGGAAATAATGGTAAGATACAGATCTTTCTTAGAGAGTTTACACTCTGGTAGATGAATTACTAATATAGCTAACTAAAACATTATAAGTTATTTTGTTTCTGGAAGTTCTTCTTGTATTAATCCTATGCAAAGATATCTTCCTCTTATACTTTTGTGTATTTCATTTATTGATCTGCTTCATTTATTTGATTCTTGCCACTTCTCATATATAAAAACCATTATTTTACTCTTCTCATTTTTGTTCATGTTATCTTCTTTTGTTTTATAAAATATTTATTTGAAAGACACAGTCTCACTCACACATACAGGGAGAGGGAGGAGGGGGACAGATGAAGAGGGAGAAAGGGAGGGAGAGTGAGAATGAGAGTGAGAGTGAGATATTTTCCATCTGTTAGTTCACTCTGCAAATGGCCGCAATGGCTCAGATTGGGCTGGGCTGAAGCCAGGAGCTCAGAACTCTGTCTGGGTTTCTCACTTGTGTGGTAGCAGCCCAGGTAATTGGGCCATCATCTGTCGCTTTTCCAAGTGCATTAGTAGGGAGATGAATCAGAAGAGGAGTAGTGAGAACTGGAACAGGCACTCCTATATGGGATGCTGGAATTGGAAGCAATGGCTTAACATAGTGAGCCACAATACTGGCTGCTATGTTTATCTTATGATGATGAAAATATTTTTACATTCTTTTATGAGTGTTGTACTGAGTAGGAGCTAAGTAATATGACAGGGTTAGACAGGGAAATATCATATTTCATAAAAATAACATTTTTATTGGTTTTATTTCACAAAATTTTATTTTCCTTACAATGATGCCTCATGAATATAAAGTTTGAAAAAACATTTGGAAGCTAAATCTTGGGACAGAGGTAACTAAAGAAATGAAAATTATGAAGGACCTTCTGTCAGACTGTAAACAAAGGAGCAGTGATTTTTGACTAAAGATAATGTAAGGGGTTATTATTTTAATTTGTACCACTGATGACTGGGGTGTCTAAGTTGTATTATTTATGTCTATTGTTTGTTTATAAAAGGCGATGCTATTGTTTTTCTTCAGTGTGATCTCTTATCACTGGCTCATTCTCTTCCCAGCATCTTTCTGGTCTATTTCCTTCATGTTCCATTTACCCACTATTTCACCCATTTTTTTCATAGATTCCTTTCATACTTTTGTTCTCCTTCAACTCCCTTCTTGTATTCATCTTCCTTCTTGCCTTTTCCTACTTGTCTTCATCTCCCTCCTTGTCATCTTCTTTCTTGTCCTTGTCTTTATCTTCCTTTGTGTCCTTGTTCTCCGTATCATCTTCTCTCTTGTCTTCATCTCCCTTATCCTTGTCTGCATCCTCTTTGCTCTCCTTGTCTTCCTGTCCCTTTCTAACCTCGTCCTTATCCTCATTCTTGTCCTTGTTTTCATTTTCCTTATCCTTATCCTCAACCTCCTTGTTCTCTTTGTCTTCCTGTCCCTTCCTAACCTCATCCTCATCCTCCTTCTGGTTCTTGCCCTCCTTGTCTTCATCTCCTTTTTCCTTGCTCTCATTCTTCTTATTCTCTTGGCCCTCATTGTCTTCATCTCCATCGTTGTCTTCTTCTCTCTCCTTATGTTCTCCCTTCTCATCCTTGTCTTTATCTCCCTTCACGTCCTTGTCATCCATGCCTTTTTCCTGCTCCTTGTCTTCATGTCCCTGCCTGTCCTTGTCCTCATCCTCATCCTTGTCCTTGTCCTCCTTGTCTTCACCTTCTTTATCCTTGTCCTCATTCTTCTTGTTCTCTTTGTCCTCATTGTCTTCATCTTTGTCTTCTCTCTCCTTATGTTCTCCCTTCTTGTCTGTATCTTCCTTCATGTCCTTGTCCTTGTTGTCTTGTTGCTCCTTGTCTTCATACCCCTTCTTGTCCTTGTCCTTTTTATTTTCCTCCTTGTCTTCATCTCCCTCTTTGTCTTCTCCCTTCTTGTTTTTACCCTCCGTCATGTCCTTATCTTTCTGTCCCATATTGTCCTCATCCTTCTTCTTGTCCTGGTCCTCCATGTCTTTGTCTCCCTCCTTGTCCTTGCTGTCCTTGTTCGCATATCCTTTCTTATCCTTATCTTCATCTCCTTTCTTGTCTTCACTTTCTTTTGTGTCCTTGTCTTTGGTATCTTCATATCCCTTCTTGTATTTAAACCCCTTGTCTTTGTCTTCCATCTTCTTCATGCCTATCTTTTGTTCCCTTTTTTCGTTATTTCCTTTCCTTGATTGACCATTCTCCACCTTCTTTTCCTTGTTCTGTTCTTAGTATATTTCTTTCTGTCTACTTTTTTTCTCTTTTCTTTTTCACTCAGAGTTTTCATGGGAAGCTCTTCAACTTTCATTCCAGTTTTCTGATTTTGTTTCTTTTCATAGGTCTCAGCAAGGCCACTTAATTCTTTCTTATGCTGATATTTAGGACAAATTTGACTGCATGGTGATGAGACTACTTGAATTCTCAAATCAATTTCTTGTTTTAGAATAGTTTTCCTTGCTTCTGTAGTGTCACTTTTTATTTCTGCTTTTGAATCTTCTCTCATATTACCTGAAAATATAATAAAGCATACATTAAAGTGTATAATTTATATCTTAACTGTAATTTCTCTCCATTGTCACCTCTTTATTGTCACAATTTTGCAACAAGTTTGGGACAATAATCTTGCTTTCCTTATAATATAAAGTATATGAAGCTGCATATATATACATATATATATAGATACACAGAATTAGGTAGAATATTCTTGAACTACAGACTCTTTTCATGAGATATAATTTAGAAAAAGAAAAATACAACAAAAAGAATTATTAGTAGAATATGGCTAGAGTGGATGCATGATTAAAATTAATAGAAGATATAGACTTTTGAAAAAGACATTTTTTTCTGAGAAAATTATATTGTTATACAATGTTTGTGATTCCTTAAAGCACTTCACCTTCCTGAGTGATAAAGAAATTACTAAATTAGTCCTTATTTTAAGGGACAAAAAAGCTAAAACTTTTCTTATTTATTTCACAAGTTTTCATGGAGTTGCATTAGAAGTGACTTAGTGGTGGAAACAGCATCAGAAAAACAGCTGGTCCTTGTAATATCTGTGCTAATCATAGGAATATCTCTTGCATTGTGATATGTAAAAATTAAAATTACTCTTTTTTTAAATAGGAGAGATTGCTTGTTGAAATCAGATTAGTTACATTTAATTTTTATTTCACCTTTTAATTGATATAGAGTGTTAGCTTTCATCATGTTTTGATGCCCTTTTTGTTATTTACTATAGTGCAAATTGGACCAGTAGTTATAATGGAATGTGATTAAAATTATAATTTAAATTGGTAATGAGAGCTAAGAGTCTCACCATGTTGGGGTAGGTTAAGAGTTTTAAAGAGAGTTCAAGTTGTTGTACATTGGCTTTTCTTGATAAGAGTCACAGGTATCTAGCACTGGACACCTAGATTTATTCAGGTGGCCCTTCCCACCTGTGGATGACATACTCTATAAGTGATTCTTTCCCTTTGATTGGAGTATAGTGGTCATTTTGTGCTTGGATGTTACTTTTTTGGTAAGGAGCATCCTCATTTTTATTTCCCTTATTTCTATATTTTATTAGTGTAAGAAAATTACCATTTGGGAACTGGAATATACAGCAACTTGGAAATTGTGGTAATGAATGTAAAACAATTCATAAAGTAACTTTGAAATTGTACTGAAGGTAGAGTTGGAGGAGGATCACTATGAACAACATCTTCAACAAGGTTTCTATATGGAATATGGGCCTTGTGGAATAGGTTTATTTCTTGTTTTGAGGAGACTTGTGAGACAAAATTCTGGATAACAGACAGATTATTATGTGAGGATTTAAAAAATGTTTGGGTTCTATTACTTATTACATGAACTTTGCCAAAAATACTGTGAGGACAAAATGAGATAAAATGTATCAGTATGCTATAAAAATTGTTAAAGTAGTATATGGCAAATATTTGGGGTTTACTTTTTTTTTTGACAGATAGAGTTAGACAGAGTGAGAGACAGAGAGAAAGGTTTTCCTTCTGTTGGTTCATCCCCCAAATGGCCGCCAGGGCTGGAGCTTCACTGATCCAAAGCCAGGAGCTGGGTGCTTCTTCCTGGTCTCCCACGTGGGTGCAGGCATCCGAGCACTTGGCCATCCTCCACTGCCTACCCAGGCCACAGCAGAGAGCTGGACTGGAAGAGGAGCAATTGGGACTAGAACCCGGCACCCATGTGGGATGCCAGTCCTGCAGGTGGAGGATTAACCAAGTGAGCCACGGTGCTGGCCCCTGGGGTTTACTTTTTTAAAAAGAGAATTTATTAATACTTCGATTCTCAGGGTCATAGCAAATGCATGATAACTAATACAATGGAGTTTTCATCAATTCTAATGCTAATGTGATATTAATACAAAGAGAATAGAGTCATGTAGTTCATAGGTAAAATTCTAAATATTTTCCTTCCTTTCTTTCTTCTTCCTACCTCCATTTTTCTTTCCCTCCCTCCCTCAATTCCTTCCTTCCTTCCTTCCTTCCTTCCTTCCTTCCTTCCTTCTCTCTCTTTCCTTTACTCTCTTCTTCCACCCTCCCTTCTCTCCTTCCTTAATTTTTGAGGTAACATTTAAAACATTTATATTTTAGTCAAAGGCATAATTTTGCACTAAGTAAGTGTTCAACAAATTAAAAGTAAAGATATTCAGGGGGAATATTGGCAAGGGCTATAAATAGTAATCAAATGAAAAGATGGGCCAAGCACCTCAATAGACATTTTTCAAAAGAGGAAATCCAAATGGCCAACAGGCACATGAAAAAATGTTCAAGGTCATAAGCAATCAGGGAAATGCAAATCAAAACCACAATGAGGTTTCACCTCACCCCGGTTAGAATGGCTCACATTCAGAAATCTACCAACAACAGATGCTGGCGAGGATGTGGGGAAAAAGGGACACTAACCCACTGTTGGTGGGAATGCAAACTGGTCAAGCCACTATGGAAGTCAGTCTGGAGATTCCTCAGAAACCTGAATATAACCCTACCGTTCGACCCAGCCATCCCACTCCTTGGAATTTACCCAAAGGAATTTAAATTGGCAAACAAAAAAGCGGTCTGCACCCTAATGTTTATTGCAGCTCAATTCACAATAGCCAAGACCTGGAACCGACCTAAATGCCCATCAACGGTAGACTGGATAAAGAAATTATGGGATATCTATTCTTTAGAATACTATACCGCAGTAAGAAACAACAAAATCCAGTCATTTGCAACAAAATGGAGGAATCTGGAACACATCATGCTGAGTGAAATAAGCCAGTCCCAAAGGGACAAATACCATATGTTCTCCCTGATCGGTGACAACTGACTGAACACCAAAAAGGAAACCTGTTGAAGTGAAATGGACACTATGGGAAATAGTGACTTGATCAGCATAGCCCTGACTGTTAATGAACAACTTAATACATTATCCCTCTTAGTAGTTTTTTTTGTCTGTTCTACTTAATATGACTGGTTTAATTCTGTAATTATCACACAGTTATTCTTAAGTGTTGAAAATTCACTGAAATGTGATCCCTGTTAAACATAAGAGTGGGAATAAGAGAGGGAAGAGATGTATAATTTGGGACATGCTCAAGCTGACTTGCCCCAAATGGTAGAGTTAAAAACATACCAGGGGATTCCAATTCAATCCCATCAAGGTGGCATGTACCAATGCCATCTCACTATTCCAAGTGATCAATTTCAGTTCACAATTGATCATAATGAAAGGACTAAGAGTCAAAGGGAGCACATAAACAAGTCTAGTACCTGCTAACACTAACCGATGGAATAAATAAAGGGGAGAGTGATCCAACATGGGAAGTGAGATACTCAGCAGACTCATAGAATGGCAGATGTCCTAAATAGCACTCTGGCCTTAGAATCAGCCCTAAAGGCATTCGGAGCTGGCTGAAAAGCCCATGAGAGTATTTCAGGCATGGAAAGCCAAGACACTCTGGCAAAAGATCTCTGTGAGTGAGATCCCAGTGGAAAGAACAGGTCTTCAAAGAAGGAGGTACCTTTCTCTGAAGGGAGGAGAGAACCTCCACTTTGACTATGACCTTGTCTAAACAAGAGAAGAGTCGGAGAACTCAGAGGGCTTCCATAGCCTTGGAAACTCATGACTGGAGCATAGGGAGATTACTGATGCCATAGACAGGAGTGTCAATTTGTAAAGTCAACAACAGGAGTCACTGTGCACTTACTCCTCATGTAGGATCTCTGTCCTTAATGTGCTGTACATTGAGACAATGCTATAACGAGTACTCAAACAGTATATTTCACTTTGTGTTTCTATGGGGGTGCAAACTGTTGAAATCTTTACTTAATGTATACTAAACTGATCCTCTGTAAAAAAAAAAAAAAAAGAAATTATCAACTCCCAACTTGACTCTCACTGGGATTAAACATGACAATAGGTCTGATCTGATTTCATCATCATTTAAAAAAATCATCTATTATTTTTCACTTTATGTTTCTGTGTGGGAGCAAACTGTTGAAATCCTAACTTAATGTATACTAGCTGATCTTCTATATATTAAGATAATCGAAAATGAATCTTGATGTGAATGGAAGGGGAGAGGGAGTGGGAAAGGGGAGGGTAGTGGGTGGGAGGGACGGTATGTGGGGGAAGCCATTGTAATCCATAAATCGTACTTTGGAAATTTATATTCATTAAACAAAAGTTAAAAAAAAAAAGAAAAGCAAAGCCAGAGGCATTACAAGATCAGACTTGAAGACATACTACCGAGAAGTAGTTGTAAGCAAAATAGCCTGATACTACACAAAAATAGACATATAGACCAATGGAACAGAATAGAAACCCCAGAATTACTCCATGCATCTACAACCTAGACATTGATGAAGGAGCTAAAGTCAATTCCCTGGGGAAAGGATAGTCTCTCTTCAACAAATGGTGCTGGCAAAATTGGATCTCTACATGAAGATGTATGAAACAAAGCTCTTCGGCCAGCACCATGGTTCACTAGGCTAATCCTCTGCCTGCGGCACCGGCACCACGGGTTTTAGTCCCAGTTGGGGCGCCGGGTTCTGTCCCGGTTGCTCCTCTTCCAGTCCAGCTCTCTGCTGTGGCCCAGAAGGCAGTGGAGGATGGCCCAAGTGCTTGGGCCCTGCACCCGCATGGGAGACCAGGAAGAAGCTCCTGGCTCCTGGCTTCGGATCGGCGCATCGTGCTGGCCGTAGCAGCCATTTGAGGGGTGAACCAACAGAAGGAAGACCTTTCTCTTTGCCTCTCTCCTTGTCTAACTCTGCCTGTCAAAAAAGAAAAAGAACCAAAGCTCTTACCTTATAACTTATGCAAGTGGTATAAGTGGATCCAGGATCTACATCTATGATCTGATATCATCAAATTACTAGGGAAAACTCTGCAAGACATTGACATAGGCAAATATTTCTTAGAAGACCCCAGATGCACAGAAAACAAAGACAAAAAGATACAGATGAGTACATCAAGCTAAGAAACTTCTATCTGCCTGCAAAAGAGACACT